GTTTATCAATTCAATCACCCCAGAGATATTGGTTTGTGAATTTTGGAGAAAGAGTAACACATCATCCGCATAAAGGCTGATTTTATGTTCCACGTTCTTGCATTTTATGCCCTTAATTACTGAATTCTGTCTAATTGCTGCTGCTAGTGGTTCAATAAAAATTGCAAATAGTGAAGGGGAGAGTGGGCATCCCTGCCTGGTGCCCCTCAAGAGACAGAAGCTGGAGGATGTCTGGTCATTTGTTCTAACACAAGCTGTTGGGGAATTATATAATATTTTTAACCAGTTTATGAAAGAGGATCCAAAACCAAATTTGTGTAAAGTTGCAAATAGAAATTTCCAGTTAACTCTGTCAAATGCTTTTTCTGCGTCTAAAGAGAATATTGTAGTTTCTAGGTTTTTACTGTATGAGTAGTCTATCAAATTAAGTAATCTACGTGTATTTGTTGATGAGTGCCTACCTTTTATGAAACCAGTTTGGTCAGGATGAATTAAGAGGGGGGTTATTTTCTCCAGTCTCTTTGAGAGAGCTTTGCAGATTATTTTAAGGTCTACATTTATAAGGGATATTGGACGATAGCTTGAGGGATATACAGGGTCTTTGCCTGGTTTTAGCAGGAGATTAATGTTTGCAGAATTCATATTTGATGGAAGTCTGCCCTTTTCTTTAATTTCCAACAACGTTCTGTAGAAAACTGGTGCTAGAATCGACCAGAATTCTTTGTAGAATTCTGCAGGAAAGCCGTCTGGACCTGGAGCCTTATTATTGTGCATACTTATCAGGGCTTCCTGGAGTTCACCTGGTGTCAGTGGTGAATCCAGTGCCATTGCTTGAGTGTCCAATAATTTTGGAAGAGTTATGTTGTCCAAAAACTGATCAATTTCTTTTTTAGATGGGTTTATTTGTGGTGAATACAACGTTTTATAGAAATCCCTGAAAATGTTGTTTATTTGTATCGGTTCATATATTGTGTTCCCAGATGAATCTTGAACAGCACATATAGTTGTTTTTTCTTTATTTATTTTTAGCTGGTTTGCTAGAAATTGACCGGATTTATTACCATGTTCATAATTTTGTAGGCGTAGTCTTTGTACTAAGAATTTTGTTTTTTTATCAATTATCTCATTTAATTCTAGTTTTGTTTTGCGTATTTTGTTCAATGTTTCCTGATCTTGGTGGGACGCGTAGGCTTCTTCTAGTGATTTGATGTTTTTTTCTAATTCCTGAATATTTTTGTTTTCTTTTTTCTTTTTATGTGATGAGAAAGAAATTATTTTACCTCTCATCACAGCTTTCCCTGCTTCCCATAGAACAGAAGCTGATGTTTCGGGAGTGTCATTATAGTCCAAATATGAAGTCCACTCTTTTTTAAAATATTTAATAAAGTCTTCATCTTTAAGTAGTGATATATTAAATCTCCAGTTTTTTCTTGGCGTAGTATTATTCTTGTGCATTAGTGTTAAAGATACAGGACCATGATCGCTGACAGCTATAGGATGAATCTCAGTGTCTGAAATGTCGTTCAGCAGTGAGCTGCTGACCAAAAAATAATCCAGACGAGAGTAGGAGTGATGGACATGTGAGAAAAAAGTATATTCCTTACTGGTGGGGTGACGGGAGCGCCATGCATCGCAAAGACCAAAGTCGCTCATATATTGTTTGATTATATTTGTGGACTGCCAATTACGCTGAGTTCCCGCTGTATTGAGCCTATCCATGTCTTCATTTAGTCCAAGGTTGAGGTCACCTCCAAGAACAAGTGTGCCATCTAAGTGTTCAGAGAGTGCACTGAAAAAACCGTGAAAGAATGAGGGATCATCAACATTTGGACCATATACACTTGCAATACATAGCTTTTTATCAAGTATAGATAGTTTAATGATTAAGAATCTGCCCTCTGGATCTATAACTGTATCGAGTACTGTGAAATTAATATTTTTATGTATTAAAATTGCTACTCCCCTTTGTCTAGAATTATAACAAGCTGAGAACACATTAGGAAACTCAGGTGTTTTAAGTTCATTCGAACCTCTAAGAGGTCTGTGGGTCTCTTGTAAAAGGACAACATCTGCCTGTAGTTTTTTGAGTTGGTTAAATATTTTTAACCTCTTTTCTCTGGAGCCAGCTCCATTTATATTCCATGTAATGAACCTCAGTGTACCCATAGATGTTTGTGTATAACTAGGGATGTATGCTGTGTGCGTCGCTTAGACAGGTGGAGAGAATACGTCACTTGTTCATAAATAAAGAGAAGGAGAGAGAGAAAAAATGTGTGGCGAGATGCTCCGTGGGTCTGACTTAGTGTATGCATAGTTACTAATATGAGTAGGCTTGGCTTAAGTGTGTGTGTGTGTATCTTATATGACTGTGTGCGCTGTCTGACTGATGTAAATGTGCTGCCGTTGAGCGCATGGTGCGTATGTGTCGAAATAAAGGATGTTTGTGGATGAGTGTCGAAGCAGGTGATCGAGGCAGTGAAAGGAATAAAGAAAGAAACCAAGGACAGGGGTGAGCAGCATAAAACCAAGAGGGGGAAAAGAGAGGAGGGAAAAAAAAACGAGAAGAAAAAAAAACCAGAAACAAAACGTAAACATTCCAATTAAATCACTGACGGAGAGTGACGGTGTTAATTCTGCTATGAAATCACACTTTAAGATGCGATTTGATACTGGTAAGTTAAACAGATGTTAATGCAAGTTAGTGTGAGTGGATAGGGAAATGGTGTAGCTGATTCTTATCTGGTGTGAGGTTAATACAGCCACGGAGTGATGTTGGGGTCGCGGTGGAGCTGTCCGTCCACGTACAGCCGGTCCACAGCGATGACAGCGCGGGAGCCAATCACCTTCTCAGCAGAGCGCACAACACGCTGCAGTCTCTGTTTGTCCCTGATAGTGGCTCCAGCGTACCACACGGTGATGGAGGAGGTGAGGATGGACTCGATGATTGCAGTGTAGAATTGCATCATCGTCCATGTTGGCAGGTTGAATTTCTTCAGCTGCCTCAGGAAGTACATCCTCTGCTGGGCTTTCTTAATGACGGAAGTGATGGTGGGCTCCCACTTCAGGTCCTGGGTGATGGTGGTACCCAGGAAGCGGAACGAGTCCACAGAGGTGATGGGGGTGTCAGTCAGGATGATGGGGGGGAGTGGGGCTGTGTGCTTCCTGAAGTCCACAATAATCTCCACTGTCTTCTGGGCATTCAGCACCAGGTTGTTGTGGCTGCACCAGGACACCAGACGTTCAACCTCCCTCCTGTAGGCAGACTCATCCCCGTCCGAGATGAGTCCGATAAAGTCTTCTAAAAAAAATCACAAACGGAGTCATGTTTTTAAAGATACCGTTAAAAACTGAAAAACTCAAACTGGATTTCAATTTTATATTAAACTGTAAAAAATTCAGCATCACAAGGTTAGCTTCAGATTACTGACCTGAGTTTAACAGTGTATAAGAAAATTGTCAGGCAGACTTATTCCAGCGTCAATTCCTCCACCTCTTGTTGAGCCTCAGCTCGAATTTTAACCTTGACAGTATTCGTTGTGGGCAAATCTCTTGCAGCATGTCTACAGTGACAGGATATCAGCAGCAGAGGACCAACTGCAAAGAAAAAGGTTTTAGTCAAACTTAAGCCTTCAGAAATGTGGAGACGACTGCACTGATGCTTCAAACAAGACTTTGATTAACACTGACTCCATTAAGATTTTTAGAGTTAGAGTGAAATGACACCAGTGTTTATATTTTAGCTATTACTGAAAAATAATTATTTTATTATTATTATTTTTTTTATATTCTGGTCTCAGAATGGTTCTTTATAAATTTGAAAGGAATGCCAGGATTGCTTTTAATTACTTAAAAGCAAGCATGGACTCTCATGTTTACATTTAAATGTATAATCCAATCAGCGGATCTGAAATTTCAAAAACTCACTTAAAATTTTTGCTTCATCAAAATTATCCACTAAAGTTATCTTACTTACGTAGCAGCACCAGCAATGGGCCCTGTACTAGTGTCCCAATCCCTGCAGATCCTAATCGTGCTCCTTTGATTGGCTGATTGTTTCCACATATGACTCCATCCTCACAGCTGCAAATTTGAACTGTCATTTTTTGTGGTTCTGGACAGAAATGTCCCTGCTGATCTTTTACCACTAATTCCACCATGTAGATACCAGGCCCCACGGTCTCCTGAGCCCGCAAAATAGCTGCAGTGTCTGTCAGAAATCAAACAGAAATGTGGAACATGTACAGAATTAATGTGCACCACTCTTAAAGTACAGCTCAAAACATACAAGTAAACTGCTGATAAAAAAACAAAAAAACAAAAATGCAAATGGATTTTATCCTCGTATATGTATAGTGCACAATACAAGTTCTCCCCCTCAGTGTTTGTCCCAGTACCTGTTAACCTTTCCTGCATGTTTCTAGCAAGTTTGTGATTTTGTTTAATTACTCAAGTGACTTTGGACTTTTCATCAGCCAGAATGAAGATCTGTTTTCAGTTTACTTTGCCTATTTTCATGTGTCTGCAACTGAGTGCAAATTTGAAATTTCTCTGATTTATGACAGATTCTGAACTTTCTCAAGTTTGACTAGCTTGCTGCTAGTTTAAAAACATGACCTATTACTCGGTAATAAAATGAATTCTGAAAGATGAAAACAAAGTTGACACAACTAGCTCCGAATTTTCTGTGCTTTTTTTTGTATTTATTTATTAAATTGTATTTTTTAACTAGATATATTTTAAATGATTGGAAGTCATCTCCTCACCAAACCCCCCACTCCACTGATGACTTGCTCTTGGCCAACACCCTTAACGACTTCTACTGCCGTTTTGACGAGCCATCAGGCAGCCTTCACACCTCCAACGGCCCCAACAATAGAGACACTTTGGACACTAATTCCCCCACCTCTCCCCCCTCCATAGAGCCATCACCACCTTCAAACCTGTTCACCTACAACACCCCCCTCCTCACCCCACACAAAAGAGGATTTCACACCACCTCCTCCCACCACAACTCTTCATATTCATGAAGCAGATGTGAGGAAGCAGTTTAGGAGTCTGAATGCTCGGAAAGCTCCCGGCCCAGACGGTGTGTCTCCTGCCACCCTCAGACACTGTGCAAACGAGCTGGCCCCAGTGTTTTCTGGCATTTTCAACTCCTCACTGCAGGCATGTCATGTGCCTGCCTGCTTCAAGTCCTCCACCATAATCCCTGTCCCCAAGAAACCTAGGATCACTGGACTAAATGACTACAGACCCGTGGCTCTGACATCTGTGGTCATGAAGTCATTTGAGCGCCTAGTTCTCTCCCATCTCAGGACCCTCACGGCCCCCCTCCTGGACCCCCTGCAGTTTGCATACAGAGCCAACAGGTCTGTAGACGACGCCATCAACATGGCCCTACACTTCATCCTGCAGCATCTGGACTCCCCAGGAACCTACGCCAGGATCCTGTTTGTGGACTTCAGCTCTGCCTTCAACACCATCCTTCCAGACCATCTCCGAGACAAGCTTTCCCAGATGAATGTGCCTGATCCCATCTGCCGGTGGATCACTGACTTCCTGACGGACAGGAAGCAGCATGTGAGGCTGGGAAAGAATGTCTCGGACTCCCGGACCATCAGCACCGGCTCCCCTCAGGGCTGTGTTCTTTCTCCTCTGCTCTTCTCCCTGTACACCAACTGCTGCACCTCCACCCACCAGTCTGTCAAGCTAATCAAGTTTGCAGATGACACCACCGTTATTGGACTCATCTCGGACGGGGACGAGTCTGCCTACAGGAGGGAGGTTGAACGTCTGGTGTCCTGGTGCAGCCACAACAACCTGGTGCTGAATGCCCAGAAGACAGTGGAGATTATTGTGGACTTCAGGAAGCACACAGCCCCACTCCCCCCCATCATCCTGACTGACACCCCCATCACCTCTGTGGACTCATTCCGCTTCCTGGGTACCACCATCACCCAGGACCTGAAGTGGGAGCCCACCATCACCTCCGTCATCAAGAAAGCCCAGCAGAGGATGTACTTCCTGAGGCAGCTGAAGAAATTCAACCTGCCAACACGGACGATGATGCAGTTCTACACTGCAATCATCGAGTCCATCCTCACCTCCTCCATCACCGTGTGGTACGCTGGAGCCACTATCAGGGACAAACAGAGACTGCAGCGTGTTGTGCGCTCTGCTGAGAAGGTGATTGGCTGCAGACTCCCATCTCTGCAGGACCTGTACACCTCCAGGACATTGCGGCGTGCAGCTCGGATCTCAGCTGACCCTTCTCACCCTGGACACAGTCTGTTTGACCTGCTCCCCTCAGGCAGGAGGCTCCGGTCCATTCGCACCAGAACCTCTCGCCATAAGAACAGTTTCTTCCCCTCTGCTGTTGGACACATGAACAATAACCATATGACTGTCCCCGCCACTAACACATGACCCTACGCTGTGTTCACTGTATCATTCCATGTTTGGCACTGATCACCACCTGCACTCATGTATATATCTTTCAACGTAGCACTCTTAATTCTTACTCTCATGTATATATCTCATGTATATCTCATGCACATATCTTTCCACGTAGCACTTTTAATTCTTATCCCTACTTTTATTTTTTCCATGTCTATTTAAGTGTTATTTATGACACCATGTTTGCACTGAAGCACCGCAGCAATTTCCTAATGTTGTAAACCTGCTCAACATTTGGCAATAAACCCCATTCTGATTCTGATTCTGATTCTGATTCTGATTGAGATGCTCCACTTTCCATTGTCCTTTGGTGCCTTCTGGGATGATCTCAAATTTAAAAGGAGGTCCATTAGGATATGCATCCTCATCATTGGCATTCAGAATAACAGTATTCTCTCTGGTGCATATAATATAGGTATTACTGGTCAGGATGGGGCAGTGGTCATTCAAATCTTCAACCTGGATGGCTATGGTACCAGTGCTGTTTTACTAGGCATGTCTGTGATGTGAAAACAGAGATGTTAATATATTAGTCACCAGTTTAACTTCATTTCCACTGATCTTTCCTTTCTTCAGAGACAAGTTCCAGGACTTTCTATCATGACTATGTGCAGGCAGGCAAGAAGAAGGGACCCAAAATGCAGAACTCACGGAGGCAAACGTAACTCAAAATACTCAGCTTTATTGCTGGAAAGAAACGGAACAAAAAACTAACTAAACTGGGAATACGGAACAAACTTAACAGGCAGGCAGGCTGGCAAGCAGAACACACAGTGAAAGTGAGGGTACGACGCAATAACGAGCAGGGGAAGACGCAGACACTAAATACCAGAGGTGAACAGAGCTAAGAGGAAACAGCTGGGCGACACAGCTGGCGCAGATTACACTGACGTGACAGGGAGAGGACAAAGCTGAACGCACTGACATAAGGTACAGACCTACAAAGTAAAACAGGAAGTACATGACAGACACAGAGATCCAGACGAGACACAGAACTTAACAGACGCAGACTCATGAGCAGACATAATAACATAATGGACAGACAGAGGGAACACAGAAAAGTGGGACCAGGGCAGACAGAACAGAAACCTAGCAGATGGCAAATCTTAATGGAAAACACAATCAGAATAAACAAGATCATAATAAAGAAACACAAAACACTGAGTCACCAGACTCAGGACCACGAAACTTTCATTCTGTACCTTCTGTAATGCAGAGTACTTTGGCAAAATATGTCCCATTGACCAGGTATGGAGACTCCCTATCAGGTCTCTTGTTGAGTTTGATCTCAGCTGTCTCTGAGTCAATAGTCCGCCAGTTTTCAGGGTCTGAGACTTTGGCATACCTACATCAGAAAGAGCTCACAAGCCAGTTATCATTGTACATAGGAAGAGAAGATGACAATATAGTTCATGTTTCTTATGTAAGCACTGACCTGACATTCTCAGCTACTTTTCCAGTGTCTTCATCTATTGCAGGATAGCTACCTATAACCTCGGCATTGTTGTAGAAGGTTCCTCCCTCTGAGATGGGAATAGCTTTGACCTTGGGATCAAAACGTGGCCCCTCAAGCTGATTCTTTACACTGATTTTGATGGGATAGATTTGAATTTTTACTCCAGAACCAGGTCCTGCATCTCTTGACCCCCTGGCACCACTTGCTCCACTTCTAAAACTTCCATCAAACGGTGGGTTCTAGTTTTTTACAGCTAACTCTAGTTCACCGTTTTGCAGATTCTCACAGCCTGTGACACGGCAGACAAGAAGAACATAAGTGAAATGCATATGAGGGACTAGAGGTTACGATCCCTGATAATGCATTATCAGGGAAAATCTTATTATGTTTGATATCTGTCCATAGTTAAATTATTAAAGTGGTTTATTAATTATTAAGTGGTTTGTAAACCGTGTGGAGCCACTCGCATCGGTAATACAAACAAGCTTTTACGCTTTATGTTTTAGTCACTGAATCAGCTTCAGATTTAGTCTACTATATTCATGTGATATGTAGTTGACCAAAACTAAAATTATTTAGATGCCTAAATAGTAAAAAAAAAGAAAGAAAAAGAAATGTTTTAGTCAAGACTAAAACTAAATCAAAATTTGCTGTCAAATTTAACACCTTCAGGATTCATGTTGTGTTACATGTGTAAGGAAAAGACATGTGGATGTAAACTTGTCCACCTTTACTACCACCACTCTTTGTATCTTCACTCTTGCAACTTTCCCCTCTCATTCACACTCACATTTTGTTATGTTTCTAAAAAACATGCTCATGAACATGTCGCATCACTTTTTCTTTAGCAAAAAAGCTGAACTGACACTGAAAAAACTTTGTGCCACTGGACTGTAGGATGGCACTTGAAGTTGGTTCTTTAGCACTTTCATAAATTAAAGCTGCATAAATGATAAAATGCTGTGAAATATACAAGTCTTCTAATAAGATGGTGTTCTTTACAATGATGTCAAGTATTTTAGTAACAATAATTTTGGTCTCTGAAAGCATAATCATCCAATAATAATTGCCAGCTTTCAAACTAACCATCAAACTAATTTATTGCCAAAGCTGACAGCAAAAAATAGCAGTGAACCAGCGCCTAAGTCTTTATCAGGATTTCCTCAAACTCTGTTACTTCCTGATTAAAACCAATGATTATCTGAGCATGTCACAGCTTTCACAAACACTATGCATCAGCAGCTGTCATTTCTGAAAGCCACATTTTCTAAATATCTTAGAAAACAATCAGAGCATCGTTACACTCACAGGCAAAGCAAAAGCACCAAATGGGGGTCCTATGATTGTTGGTGTTTATAAATAAAAGTGCATAAATCAAAGCTGAGACATAATTCATGTTTCTCTTTCACCATTTTTGGTGCAGGAAGCAGAGACACAACAAAACCTTAAGTTTTGTTGTAGCTGATGCACTAACAGTACATGATCAATTATATTGGCTTGGCTTCTTTTGGTGCATTCCTAAGGGCCATTGTTCCTTTCAACCATTCTACTGGTTTCATTTTTTTAAATACTGAGTGCTTACTACTTTCTTTTTATTTAGGTTCAAGCTGCTGCTTAGTTTATTGAGTTTGTATTTCTAGTTAGTTCCCTTACTCATTCGCATTATTCCTGCCCTGGACAACAGTTTGTTTTTCTGTTTTCATGTGTTTTGGTTTCTGTATTGAGTTTATTTATTTTTTTATTCCTTTAGTCTTCAAGGAGATTAATTTTTTAAGTGGTTTTTAATAAATATCACAGTATGTTTCACAATGACAAATTATAGAAGCTTAATCTTAACTTTAAGAGAGCCATAAAACATAAGAAGCTTGGTTTGCTTGTGCGACTGGAGACAAACAGGATGCAGTGGATTAAGCAAACTCAACATTTGGGTTCGAGGTAATACTGGGAAATACTGGGTAATACTTGCCTGAAGAGACTCTCCTCAGTCTCCTCAGGCTACTGAGGAGAGATCCACCATGTTCAGTGAGGACTTTTGACCTCAACAGTCTTCCACTCCAGCTTATTAATTAACCAAACCCAGCCAACGTTTTAATTCGTTTGAAAGCTTGGCTCTTAGTAAATTAGAAAAGTCAACAAGCAGTTTTAGTTGTTATCTTTTGTCCTCTTGTCTCTTACTCAGTTTCTACTGTCTGATTTCTCAGACTTTTTATCTGCTCAGTTCTGGTAAAATAATTATTGTGATTTTAACATACATACAGATGTAGAAAATGACAGCCTCAAAAATGCATTTAATCGATTATTTGACTCAGTAAATGTGAGGCTTCTCTCATTGTTTTTTATCACTCTCTGGATCTCTTCCTGACACATGACATAAAAACATTTTTCCCTGAAAATTATCTTGGGTTTTACTTTTTCCATCTGAGGAGTTTCAGTCAAATTTAATTTTGGTGAAATTCACATTCCATTTGGCTTTTCTTGATGTTGTTGCAATAGGATACTTGAAGTGAAGGGAAAAGACTTTGAAGTCTGTTTTACAGCTTTTTCTGGAATTTCTGATCTCACAGAGGTGTTTTGTTTTCTTCTAATATAGTATTCACCATCCTAGGCATAATTACAGCTAAATAAAGTCAGTCACGAGAATAAATACTAATCGAGGGCACCTGTTTTCTTCCAAAAGGAGTATTAAAGTTTCGCTTATGTTTGAAGTGATTCTGGTGCTGCTAAAACTGCTAAACCACATGTTATTAAATAGCCCCATTTATCTTCTTTCTTCAGTCTGGGAGAAATTTAGCTTAAAAAGCCAATCAAGCCCATTAAAAAAAAAAGAAGTAATAAGTAAATAACAAAGTTCAGTTTGTAAAGACATAAAATTCTTTGTTGACTCACCACAAACAAAAGAAGCACAAAACCCGTCATAGAAACCTGAGTCATGTCTGGAGAAAAGTCCTGGTCCAGATCAAATGAAGATTATTGAGTCCCTGTAGCGTGTCTGCTAAATGAGGAGACACACACACACACAATCCACAGGTAATGTCTTTCTTCTAGTGAAATCAAACTAGTGGGTCCTTTTCAGAGCAGCCAGCGTGACATGCTTGTTATCTGATCATTGCTGGTTTGAATCAGGAAATAAAAAAGTTTGATGAAGAGTGAGGCGTAAGTGCAGTACACTGTCGATTTTGATAGCAAATCAGTGTAGATCTGTGGTTTTATCGTTATCTTTTACTGCATGAAACATGTTCCCAATGCTAACGCTATATAATAATGAATAAATAAACAAGTTTAAAATTTGTTTTGAATTTTGTCTCACCCTTTTTTTACTACCAGATATCAGCCTTAAAAAAAACACCTCACTCCGAGTTCAACCCTGTCCTCACTCCTCATAACTCCTTGTCACGATATTACCTCTTTAAATGACGCAGATCGATTATCCGTACACTTTATCGTAACTCGCCAGCCACGTTGTTATGTACACCTGCTCAGATGCTTTTTACCATTTAACCTCTTTTGCAAACTTCACATTTTCATCCATTTTCTAAAAGTATTTCAGTGCTGCTTAATAAATAATAATAACTAATAATAAATGAAAAACAGTGCTTGTAAACAACAAATGTTCCCACTGAAACAAAAACAAAAGGAGGCAAACTGAGACTGTTTTGTCGCTTTATATAAAATTGTTTATTATCACAAAAATCCAAACTTAAAAAAAAAAATCAACATAAGCAAGAGATTAAATGAGATTATTGGATCAGAATATAAAAGTAATGCATCTCTAAGAAACCTTTATATTAAAAGTGCAAATGTGCTCCAGGATGAGCAATAAATAATCTTATTTACACACACACACACACACACACACACACACACACACACACACACACACACACACACACACACACACACAGGCTCAGGAGAGGAAAACATTCACTGGGACGTCCAGCTGCTGACTCCAAACCATGGGACCCCGAATAAAAGAAAGCAAAACACAAGAACGTAAAGGAATACTCCAGGTAAACTCTTCAGTGCGGAAAGAGTTAGATTGACAGGAAATAAAGTGGAATCAAAGGGTTGGAAAACCTTTAAAACTTTTACAGAAACATTTGATAACTAGCAAAAAAAACACAAAATATGATAAAGAGATTAGTCAGTCAGTTGTGTTTTTTTCTTCTGTTTTTTAGGAAAAGAGAAAAAAAAATACATCACTCAGAAGCTGCCTTCTGCTCCATCTATGAAGCATTACTCTCAGGTCCGTTTGAAGTTTTTTATTGGTTTTAATTCATTTTAAAGTTGACCTTTTTCTATTACTTGAACCTCCAGATTTTTATTCTTCGACTCTGTTAGAGCAGCTTTGCATGATTCACAGTTCAAAATAATCCTTATTTATCAGATACTAGGGGTTGCTTTTCTCCCCTCCCAAACAGTTTTCACCACAGGTAGGTGGAGTTTCTTTGCTCACAGATGACCATATTAAGGATATCCACTCTGTATGACATCACACAGAGCCAAGAACAGAAAAATCTGAAAAAAGGTCCACTTTAAGAGTCTTTGAGGAGCCACCAAGTGGTCCCATACTCCATTAGAGGAGGTCTAACCCCAGTCATACAGACGTTTAGACTAATTAGTGACACCCTGGCAACCACTGATCACTAGAGAACCATGAGTATTCCTTGACCAGTTGTCAAAAGGTTGATGGATATGAAAGCGATCACAAAGACGTATACAGTGTTGCACCAAAAATCTCTTTGCAAATGTTTGGCTGCAAGCAGGTTGCTACAGTCACCCATAGGTTAGCATATTCCATGCAAACTACAGGCGACCACGGCAATATGCTAGCAACCTAAGACATCAGGATGAAGTTTTTAGTGCAGCACCTTCTTTGCAATTGATTTCTCCAAGTGGCTAGCAGGAACCTCCAGCAACCACTCACTCATTTTCCCCTAGCAACCAGAGATTACCAGGGGATCAACAATCAATCTTCAGACCTGTGTGACTGAGGCTGGACAAACATTCAGATGTGTTTTTTTCCTAACATGGATCATATCAAAATTTCTACTTTTTCTTTCCACTGCTGTTTGGAGTCAGCGCGGTGTCAGGGTTTTCAGGTGTGACAGGATAATTTACAGAAAAATAAAAACCTTTCCTAGCCATATTATAGTCTCTGACAGTTGAGTAATCCTTTAACAAATGCAAAGTTTTTGTGTGTTTTCTTGGCTGAACAATGTGCTTCCTTGAGGTTTCGAAGGATGTTTGATGTGGTATTACCCTCTGTGTGCCCAGGATTAATGAGCAGCCACAATCTTTTGCTTAGAACCTTCCAGAATAGAAGACTTCAGTCAAAATGAGTTTGTGGTAAGTTTGTACCGTTTATAAGAAGGAAGGATTCAGTTTCTCTGTTTGTGTCTGTTCTGATTAGTGTATTTGCTGATGATGCTGTGCATCACTGAGGGAATCTGCAGCTAATTAGCTTGTTCACACTCTGCTCTTCTTCTGATTACTGAGGCCATCTGAGAGTTTTTTTCATGGAATTATAGCACAGTACAGGCTCCAGAGCGAGGTCCTCTGGAGCCAGACTGCTGCGGAGCTCGACCTTGGTGAGTCACAGCACTGATGGCAGCAGCCGGGGATGGAGGTTCTCCCTGGATAGCTTGGTCTCCGCTGGCAAGGCCCTGCACTGAGGTTTGATCCCTGTCATTTGTCTGCTTGGGCCTGGAGGACGAAAGTCGTCTAAAGAGCGAGAGCTGCGAGGGCAAAGATGAGATAATTAACTCTAATTACCTTTCTGTTTATCACATGTAAAGTAGGTTAAGGATTATGCAAAGACTAAAATTAAAAGAATTTGAATGTCTATATTATGATTGAAACTAAACTACGTTTTAGTGAAAAGACTAAAAATAAAACTAAATCAAAATTTGCTGTCAAAGTTAACACTGGTCAACATACTGAGGTTTTTAAAAATGGGATTCAGATCTCTAACCCGGCGTTTTCATACTACGTTCATCTGCACATCTGTTCAGCTGATAGTTTAAACATTTCACATTTGATTTTTTGTCTTTTCTTTCCTTGTGTGTTTACTTTCTTCTATAATTTTTAAAACTATACAGTGAGACACCGGTACAGGTACAATTTACACTAATGTATGCTCTAAGGCTGATTAGACCTTAAGGTAATGCCATAAAACTTTTCAAGGACTAGAAAGATATACATGTTTTATGTTCCCAACCACTAAAAAATGATATTTGTTCAGTGTCTTCTAGGTTTCAATGGCAGGAGCCAGTTTAATGACTGTCTCCTCACAACAACATGGTTTTGGACTGAACCTATGTGGAACCTTTGCTTTCCTGCCCTGTGTGGATTTTTTCTGGCTTTGTCACACAGTCCTTAGTGCTTTGAAAAGGTATGTTTTTTACACAAAGGTACATAACTGTTGCTTGAAATTCGAACAATGAATGTTAAAAACACATAAAAAAAGCAGCACCATAGAGGTAATCCCACAGTGAGGAGTGTTGTGCCCATACAGGCAAAATAAAGTTTATTTTCTGAGAGTGTTTTGAAGGCACAGTACAAAGAATATATCCAATGTTCACAGTTATTGTACCTTTTTGTTGGAGCCCGGCTGGTTTTTGGAGTTTCGATCTACCTCCCCGTTGGCTGATGTGGTATATTCACGTGTCTTTTCTTCTTTGATATTGGGCTGCTCACTGATTTCAGCTGCTGGTAATACCAGACATTATTGTTATCTGTCTTGTCTTTTTAATTTCTTTTTAACCGTCTTTGCTTAGATTTTTCATCAAACATGCAGCTGACTAAGGATAAAATCAGTCACCTCTTTGCTGTCCATCAGGCACAGGCTCTTCTTTCACCTCTTTGGGCTTCAGGGAAGATCACATTTCACATGTTAATCCATCTTAATCACAAATAACCAACAAAAACCAAAGATGCCCCATATTCAACTTAGTGCTACTTATTTACACAACTCTGGGTCTCTTCTACTGGTTTCTCTGTCGAGGACAACAGTGTGTCATTCTCCTCCTCGTCTTCCTCCAACTCGTCATCATCATCAACCTTATCATCTTCCTCCTCTCCTTCTTCTTCCTCTTGACCTTGTTCCTCGCCTTTGGTCCATGTCTCAGCAAACCCTTTTGTCAAGTCCTGCAAAAACAGGAGCATTAAGGACATGAAAAATATTTAGTCATAAGCAGTTTTAAGCCTCAGCCACATAGGCCTAGAGATTTGTCTGTGATTCTCTCACAACTTCTGGTTGCTATGGAAAAGTCAGTATGTGCTACCATGAAAACATCCTTGTCATTGTTTTAGCTGCTAGCAGATCACCTGCAGATTGCAAGGAAGACACTAAAGAAGACATTAATTGGTCACTCACCAACTATTTGATGAGTGGTAGTGAAACTGTCAAGTGTGTGACACAAACCAGAAATGCAGACCATTCACCTTCAAAGGAAAAAAGTTGTGCTTTACCATGGCAACGGTCTCGCTATCTGGTTTATGTAATACTTTTTTTTTTTTTTACAGTTTTACTATTGCTTTGGGACTGGTTTGCAAGTGTTTGCACACAACTTGGCATCTTCCCTGGAAATTACTGGTGATCACCATAACTCACAAGTGACAAAAGCAATCACAAGGTTTTTGATCCAACACTGCCAGCAACCTCTAGATACCACTCACCACCTAGTAGTGGAATTCACCTTTTTTCAGGACCTGTGGCTACAAATCCAGTCTCTAGGTCTGTGTGACTGAGGCCTTGCTTGGTTAATATTAGCAGATTCCAATAACAACAAGACAAAGGCATGAGTTTATTTAAGTTGAAGAAAAAAAAAACTGCTTTCAATTTGCAATGAATGGAAAGCATTTTTTTCAGTTCTTGTCCTTTCCTTTGTTCTTTAAAATAAAGAACAAGTAAAGGACATGAAAAATATGCACTTTCTAGTTTGATGCTAATGTTTTTACTATACAGAATAAAATATAAGCTCTGCCAGCTGAATTAACTGACAAGCAAGGAATGATTGGAAAAGACTATAGTGATGCTAGAATTAGACGTATTACTCTACACTAAAACAGCATCATCACTAGACGAAACAGGTCAAACCTTATCTTATCCTGAACACACCAAACAGACACTGAAACAGAGGAACAGATTTTCCTCACATCATCATTTTCTTGAAATATGCTAGTCTGGCACCTTACTGACAAAGTGAGTTTGTCAGTGTCCACTGTGATATTTTTGACAGTTGAGGCTGAAAAAGGCGGATTTTCTTATAATTCAGTTAAATATTTGCATCATAAAGTCAAATGTTTCCTCTTCATTAGCTCAGCTCTTGGTCTCAGCTACCTCCCAAAGAAAAAAAAAATCTTCCTCTTCGGGGCTTGCAAAATCGCTAGCCCGACGTCCCGGAGCTAGAGATATCTCCGGTCGGGCGACCAAAATCTATCTCAGCCCCGCCTGTTGGGTTATCATATAGCCCGATGGGCTTTTGTGCCCTGCAGAGTCATGACAGTTGTTTTTCAATTTTTGTCTATTTAATGATATACTGCTTGAATCCCCCCAAAATTTGAAAAAGGAATAAAGTAGTGAGAGATTAAATTAAATAAATTAAATATTCGATGTGTATTCAAAGTACTTGAGTGACTTTATTCTAAACTAATTTTATTTATTTATTATCTTTCAAAGAATATACTATAAAACTCCCACTGACCCTGCTAATCAGGTATTATCTGCATACGTGATTTATTCATCCCTCGGGATGAATAAAGTATTCTGATTCTGATTCCTTAACCTAACTTGCATGTAATGAACATGGTGTCCCACAAAGAACCTGTTTAGAACCACTACTATTTCCACCAAAAATCTTATATGTGTTTCAGTAGAAAGACGTCCTTCAAAAAAATAAATAAATTTAAAAAAATGTTTGAGTGTTATTTAAAATCTATTTTAAATAACACTCAAACACAATATACTTAATAGTATATCGTAGTATCAATTAAGGTTCACGATACCATCCTATTTATCAGCTGTGTCAGCTGGAGAGCTGTGTAGTGCCTTAAAAACAAGAGAAAGAGAAAGAAAAAAGCCACATGATTCGCTGTAGTCTTTTCCAGGCATTATATGGCATTATATGGCATTATATGGCATTATATGGCCCTGACTTATCGAAGAATTAAGGAAGCAGAACCGGCTGTTCAAACCCTCACAAGGCTGCCCGCTGGGATTGGAACGATGGGATGAGGCGTGAGTTTCTCAAAATGGGCTCATTGAGTGCAGCACGGATAATATCTTGGAGAGGCTACGGCTGCTGTGAATACTCAGGATAAGATCTCTGACTGCAGACTGGATACATCTCGGAAGGGCTAGCTCGGAATAACATCTCTGGGCGCAAATTGGATGACATCTCGGGGAGGCACACTGTCGTGAGTTCTCAGAATCGGCTCCTTGAGCACAAGAAATGACAACATCACAGAACGCAAGTATGACGAAGCTCGCGGCTCTCCAACAGGAGATTGAGAGACCAGTGTTGGACTGTAGAACTGCTTTGAAATTCATATGAGCTGTTCGCACTAAAGTAAAAACCACCATCACTTCATGCGGATACCCCTTTGGTGCCAGCTGCGGTCTCAAGGCTGGAGCTGAACAACAACACCCTGATAACGACTGTGTTTAGACTGTTCCTTCCCATTCCATGCAAGGCCACCTGGAAGGCTGTTTACTTAGCCTAGCAGGGCGAAGGACACTGTCTCAGCTGAACTCTGGACACGCACACACATACATATACACTGATATGCACACACTCATCCCCCCTCCCTTTCCAAACGCCTTCGACGCTTATTCCCTTCCGATGCTGACAGTGGATCAGGGAGGCCAGTGCACAGGCTGCAGGCCCAGATGTACTGTCTAAATCGGCTGTCTCTCACCCTTTACCCACCCCTGTTGCTTGTCATGTGTTTCTTTGGTGTATTAAGAGTTTTTTCATGTGCTATGTGCAGAGGTGTTTTTTTCTGTTCTCAAACTGATCTCCCTGTTGGAGCTCAGTCTGGGGGGAGTTATTTTTTTCTCCTTATCTTTCCTCGTGTGGTGCATTTTTCCATTGTTATACCTCTCCGACCTGTCTTCCCCATGTGATGTTTTGTGTAACGTATGTATGGTCGGAGGGTAAGATGGCGCCGCCATTGTGTGCAATAGGTCGGCAGCCTTATGAAATTTCCCCTTGTGGGACTAATAAAGGTATATTAAAATATAACAGGGCAAGACATACTGGATACAATAAATACAACAGTCTAATGGTTAACATTCACTGAATTTCGCCTTTTTTCCACTGAGATTGTTTTTTTGAGAGTTTTTTTTTAAAATTTCTCAGAAGAAACTTACATTTACAAAAATGAAAGATTTTGGCATGCAATTACGTATGAGATGGAAGCAGAAGCAGAAGCAGATGTCAGCCTGGTCTAAATAACTAATACAATCTTGTTTAGTAGTGAATGTACACAAACAATTGTGACTATTAAGTATCATTAAGACCTACTTTAACAAATGTCCTATGTCATAATACATAAAAAAAAACCACATTGTAATGCAACACAAATATTTATTACAAATACAAATCAATAGAAATAGCAACATAAATAATTCCAGATAAAATATTTAAATTTGAGCAAGACAAAGATTAAGGCTGAAGGTTTGAAGAATATTTGGGTACTCTATTAGTCATAATACTGGAAATTCAGAGAGTTCTGGTTGCAAGAGCCATGCATAACTGAGCAGAAGCAGAAGCAAAAAGAAAAGGCTTCCAAGGAAATATAAGTAAACCAAAAAGCATTTAAATCAATACTTCAGACAAACATGAGTAAGCATTGCTGTAAACCAAAAGCAAAAGGCTGGATGGAAATACAAAAGCAGCCCAAAACAACACAACGTTATGAGAGAAAGGGTTCAGAAAGCTATAAAGAAACACATTCATAATATATGAAATCAAAAAGATGGTGTGGTTAACATGTAAGAGGGAAAGGCACAGTACATGCAAATGTTCCAGCTGTTTCAGAATGAAAACATAAAATTCAGATAAACACAAAGAAGCTTGTGTATTCCAGAGGTGGAAAAAGGACAAACATTCTGAACTTAAGTACTGATTTAACTTCTTTACTGAAGTAAAAGTGAAAAAGTACGGGCTATGAATGTATTCAAAGTAAGAAAGTAAAAAGTACCTCTTTGAAGGACGTTTCTACTAGCGATTTTTGTGCAAAGCTAACTGAAGCTTGTGCTGTATTAATGTAATAATAAAATATTTATAAATGAGAATGCAAACTTTAGTTTAAATCTTAATTGAAAATGAGAAAATGAGCAGAGAAAAAGAAGGAAACAAAAACAGCTCTATTTTCTTTTGCTTCCATTGTACAAAATGACTTTGCCTCTAAACAGAAAATGAGTACACTCAGGGGTGAAAGTGGGATTGAGTAGGTAGTGAAACCCTAAAATAGGTTGCATTGGCTCTAGGGCTGCTCAATTAATCGAATTTTAATCACGATTACGATCTGGGCTTTCAACGATCATTAAAAATGACTGAGCCGATTATTAGCCCCTCCCTCGTGCTTTACTCTCGCGCTGCTCCGTGTGGCAAATCGAGCGCACCTCTCTGCATTTCGAATACGTGTCACAACAATTAAGATCAGCGGTCCCCAACATTTTTTGCGCCACGGGCCGGTTTATGCCCAGCAATATTTTCACAGACTGGCCTTTAAGGTGTCGCGGATAAATACAACAAAATAAAACTAGTACCGGTACCAAAAAAAAGAAGATTTATTCATAACACATGTGAAAAGACCAAGGAAAACCGAGTAAACGATAAAAACGATAACAAAATAATGCTGAAAACCGATAAAAACCCTGAAAACTATACATTTCACACCTGAGCCTCAACTCTCTCATACCAAATGACTCACGGACCGGTACCGGTCCGAGGCCCGGGGGTTGGGGACCGCTGATTAAGAGGACCCGAGGGAGTTCGGAAAGCTAAGCAGAAGTTATTTGGAGAGGAGAGTGACTGCCATTGGTTGAAAAGAGAGGTAAAAAAAACTTCAGTGGTGTGGAAACATTATGGGTTCGCGGAGTCAGAACTCATTTTTCATTTATTTTTTATATTGCAAACATTTGCACTGTTATCAGTATTTGCACACTATTTTATATAAATTTTTGACAATCTTTAAAGTCATTATTCAATACATTGTTGTTGTTAAATAAATATCGTCAAATAATCGAGATCTCAATTTCAGTGAAAATAATCGTGATTATCATTTTTGCCATAATCGAGCAGCCCTAATTGGCTCAGTGTGGGGAAAAGAATCACAATTTCTATTGTGGGCTCCAGTATATTTTCTGAGTGTACAGGCTGTGATCAGCTGATCTGGGCTACTGCTCTGAGGTTTACTGCTCTCTGTGGAGAACTGAATTCAACAAATGTAAGAAGATATTTTATGAGTTGCCCTGCTGTTCTCTGCTGTCAGCACTGTTTATGCTGTCTCTATACTAAACAATATAGAGGTGGAATTCAGTGAATGAATCTAAACTTCATCAACTTAACTTCAAATTCATAACATCACCTTACTGAACGCTAACCAGTTTATCCTGCACTAGATTATTTTAATGCAACCTTTAACTAACACAGATAATCTAGCTTAGTTTGCTTTGCAGCATGCTTCACAATATGAAAAAAAATTATCAAATACCACTGAGCAGTCCGTACTTATAAATATAGCCTCCTGTCTTCCTTATCTATTTCCATCATTTAGTGAAGTTAGCTCTTTCTTTTCTCTCCCTGTGAAATACAGCGTCTGGACCTTTGGCTAACAACACACTGTGACAAACTGTAGACACAAACAGTTTGTGTTTGCTGATGTTTGCTGGTAGAAATGCTGCATTTGAAATTACCCCTCCTTTATAGCACTACCTAGATGCAGAAATAATGCAACCACAACTCATGGACGCCTGCACTCGTCCTGGTGTTGCTCCAAATAAACCACAGGCCCGAACTTAAACCCCTCACTATGGCGCATGCTCTGGTGATTACAAATTGGATTTCCTCTCATGTGTTATTGTTTAGCCTCAAATCGGTTTGATGTTTGAAGGCGCACAGTGACGTTCTGAAAATGTAAGGAATAGAAAGTACAGATATTTGTTTAAAAATGTAGGGAGTAAAGATAAAAAGTTATCTGAAGAAAAAAAAACAACTTGATTCAAGTACAGATACCTGAAAATTCTACTTAAGTAGTTTTGGCAAACACAAAAGATAGATGATAAACACATGGAAATTTGTGTAGAACATGAAAGCTCAGATAGTCTCCAGGTGTAAAAGGAGAAAGAATAATATCTTACTAGGAAAAAATAAGGTCAATAAAAAATTAAATACTGAAAAACAAAAATAATTATGTGAAATCCACATCTGTTGTGCTTTTGCATTTAAGTACTGCCTGCAAGGCAATTTTAACCAAGACATTGAATCCTTATTTCACCAGCATTAGCATGGATACTTGATCTTTTAAGCTACCTGCCTTCTATTGTTCAGTCACATCCACACTGCATGTTGTGCATTTCGAAAGGGTCAATATTACATGCTAATTCACTAATGTAAACTATGTGATATTGACTTTAAATGTCTAATGTTTCATACATCTACAAAGATCTATTACTGGACATTTTAAAAATATAACTGGCTTAACTGTCTGGCTAATCCACTTTGTCTTCCCTTCTCTTACATAAATGTATTTTAGTGATTTTCTTTGCAGATGACAAAACTTTATATAAAAATATACAATTTATTCTCCTGACATTGTTTTGGTTATGTTAATTAATTAACTGAGTAATCTCCTACAAAACTGAATACAATGTAGTTTTAACTATTTATACAGAAAAAGTAATGTGACCTGTATCAAGCTTTTCTAGTATGGCCATTTTTATAACAATATTTATTTATTTTTTTTACTTTTCAGACTTTGATCGTGTCCATTTCTTGTTATTCAATAAACCAATAAATCAATAATATTGATATAAGGGCCCTTATTATTTCAGATTGAGGTATTGAGGTAAAACATCATCCCAGAACTCCTCTGACTCACCTGCCGCCTGACCTTTGACCCCTAACCTTAGTTTGCTTCTAGTTGCTGATTTAGCACTTTGTCTTTTCACTTCAGCAGACCTTTTCTTTTTGACAACCTTCTCCTCTTCTTCTTCTTCTTCATCTTCCTTCTCTTCCTCGTCTTCTTCTTCCTCACTCTGGTCCTCCTCATCTTCCGCTTCAGCCTCCTTTTCCTCACTTTCTTCCTCCTCTTCTCCTTCTTCTTCCTCCTCCTCATCCTCTGTCTCTTCCTCCTTTTCCTCACTTTCTTCCTCTTCTTTTTCTTCTGCCTCCTCTTCATCCTCTGTCTCTTCCTCCTTCTCCTCACTTTGTTCATCCTCTTCTTTTTCTTCTTCCTCCTCCTCATCCTCTGTCTCTTCCTCCTTTTCCTCACTTTGTTCCTCCGCCTCCTCTTCTTCCTCAATTTCACTGTTTTCCTCTTCACTACTCTCTTCTACTTCTTCAGCACTACTTTTTTCTTCCTCCTCTTTTTCATCTTCTCCTTCTTCGGTCTCCCTCTCTTCCTCACTTTCTTCTCTCTCTGAAGACCTCACAGACTCACTTTCAACCTCATCTTCTTCACCCTCACTCTCCAAACTCCCTTCTTCTTCCTCGTCCCCTTCTTCCAAGTCACTTTCAGTATCTCCACGTTTGCTCTCTGTTTCGTGACTTGACCCTTCCTCACTTTCCTCTTCCTCCGACTCCTCTTCTTCTACATCACCTCCGTTTCTGTCTTTCTCTTCAGTCTCTGCTTTGCTTTCACTTTCTGTTACTCCACTCTTTTCCTCCTCCTCTTCTTCATCTTCTACCACAACATTGCTCTCATCCTCCTCCTCATCTACATCGCTGTCTGACTTCTCTCCAGAGTGAAGAGTGTCACTCTCTTTTTCATCCTCAGTGTTCTCTGCCACTTTCTTAATAATGTGACTAACATCCTCCTCTTCCTCGCTTACTTTTGCATCTGTCTGCCCTTCTTCCTCTTCACCCTCTTCGTCATTATCCTCCTTATCCTCTTTGATTGCGGCAGAGTCCATCTGCTGTTCACTTTGATCTGAGATTGTCCTCATTTCAGGATTTTCAGGTGCGGGTATGATGTTGATGCTGACAGCAGATCTGTGGCTAAAATTGGCAGCGTAAGATTCAGATTCCTCACTCAGTGATTTAGTCACACTCTCTTTAAGTACAGCACAACTGTTCTCAGAAAGGGATGTGGAGCTTAATCGTCTTCCAGCTTGGATCAAAGCTGCTCCTGCAGCGAGCGAAGCAGCTCCAACAAGCAGGCTGAGATCTGTTGACTTTTCCTGAACCTCTGACCCTTTTTTGATTTGAGCTTCTTTCATGTTTTTTTCATTCTTGTTTTTCTTAGACAAATCTGTTTTCTTCTCTTTAGATTTGGGGATTTTTTTCACCTCAGAAACCTGCTGAGAGCCCACTATGCTCTCTTCATCCAAAGTGTCACTCAGGTGAAAGCTTGCTGAGTCTGTATGACTGAGTTTACCTGGTGAACTGATTCCTGTGGGTTTGCTTTTAACCCTCACAGGCTTAGACTTCACTTTCTCAACTTTAGCAGATTTAGAGTTGAAATCTAATCTTTTCTTCATAGTTTCTGGACTTTGTTTTGAGTCTGCTGCCAGCTTCCTGTGAACCCCTATCACCTGGCTTTTACTGTGAACTTGCATTTGTTGCTCTTTGGATGCTGCCTTATTTATGTCCCTGATGCTTGTAGGTTTGTTTTTACTGGGCCTCTCCTGCAACTCCTCTACAGCCAAGATCAGATTCACCTTGTTCTGGTTGCTTTTCTGATGTCTCTGGGGGCTCTGCGGGCCCTGAGTACGAGTGCTACGACTCCTCAGGAGTTCAGTGGGTAACGCCCGGAGGGGAGAGGCAGCCTCACTCTTACAAGGCAGCGAAGTGGAAGAGAAACTGCTCTGCTTTGAGAGCTTTCTCTGCTTTCTTTGACTCTGTTCTTTTATAGCCTTACCATTCTTACCCTTCCTCTATCCTCGGTGCAAGAAAGCAAGAAAAGGATGGAAAAAAGAGGCATGCATTAGAGAGGAAGAGACATGCAGAAACATCAAAGGACATAGCACACAAAGCAAGAGTTTGAGTTACCTTTTGAACTGGAGACAGCGTGAGGGTTTTATCACTGGGGTCTATCTTCATCACATGAGTCTGTCAGGAAGGAGCAGAGATGAAATCAGCAGCAAAATGTTATATTTGTCTTTTTTTCTGAGCAACATTTAAGATGATGTCATTGATCTCTTACCATGTTGAGGAAGTCTCTGGTTTCTCCAAGACCTCTCACGCTGTCAGTGTCTGTCAGACTTTCCACAACACTGTCTGTCTCCCCACCTGCCAGCTCTGAAAACAGGACAGCATTATCTTCAGCAGCAGCTTTCCAGATACAGGTAATATCACATAGTGACAAAGATGAACAAATACGTAAGATGTTTTTAAAAAAAAAATCAAGATTTTGAGAATCTGACCTCTTTATTTACAGATTTCAAATCTGCAGAAAACCCTGAGATCAAGAGAAACTCATTTAACTTTCAATGAAAGGGCATGAACGACATGAACACCAATTGTCAAATGTCAAAAATACAGAGCTCACATTCTCATTTTTCCCAACTTCATCTTAGTGCTTCTAGGTCTTAGAAACATATACCGTACAGGTGTCTGTTTTCATAAAAATGAATAAGGGATCTTGAGGAAGCCAAAGGGATAGGATTTATCAGAGATGTGACTCAAGGAGACAAAAAAAAAGACAACAACCTCCCCAAAGTCTAACAAAAATGCAAATAATATTGTCCAAAACTTTGATGTAATAGAAAGAGGATGAGGCAATGGCGGTGCAGATGAAGTAGGTACCCTGGTGGGTCGACTCCTCGTTCCTGTGCTGGTAAGTGCCATTGAGCACCTTTCCGTGGATCACCTCAGGCGGAGCCAGTCGTGGTGGTATGGTCTGGCTGGAGGCTGTCAGTGGCGGGAGGAGGTTACCTGGCGTCATGGCAGGCAGCGTGCGGAACATGGTGCCAAACTGGTCTGGAGATCGCTCCTGAATCAGAGGGTTTAGCCAATGAGCGATATTAACCCATGAACTTCTTTAGAAACGAACTGTTATCTGCAGATAAACTATAAAAAGTGTCACGTTCATTGTCCTCATACCCACCCTCTCCCTCCTGCGAACCCGGGCTGAGAGGCTCCTCTGCAGCGTAGATGAGTCAACTGTGTTACCCAGCAGTTCCACGTATGGTTTCTCCAGGAAATTTTCCGTCACATCGTCATCCTCCAGCGTGACCTCACCGGTTCCCCGGGCCCTCGGCCGAGCCAGCACCACCATGTGACATCCGCCGCACATCGCCTGGACACGTCAGCAACCAAATTAAAGTATTTGCATGCATGAAAGTCACCCAGAAATGCACAAAAATAGAAAATATATATGATTATAAATAAATAAATGTTTTTAAAATATAAAATGAATTTTATATTTTTATATATGTATGTATTTAGGATTTTTGTAATTAAAAAAATAATAACACATTTTAAAAATTGACACAAAACTGACACAAATATACATAATTTTTTAAATTATGTATTTAAAGACTATAAAAGGTAAAAAAACAAAAAGACAAATGGAATGGTTATTATATTGCACTTTCTACTCTGAGCACTCAAAGTGCTTTACAAAAAAATTAATTTTTTTTAAAAGGTAAAACTCCTTTAAAATTTTATATATTTTATGTTATATATGCAATTATGAATAAAAATTGAAAAACGAACATAATTTTTTTAAATGTAAAAAGTGAAGACAAAAAATTTAAAAGATATAAGAAATGCGACAATAAAATTACACTGTCTTTAAACTTATGAATTATCTCCAAGCCTAATTAAATAATTCTTATACATTATTTTAAGTTCTACTGCATGAACAAATGTAAACCTGTCTGTATGAAACACTTACTCCCTGAACATTATACTTCAGGAATCGCAGGCATAGCGTTGGTTTAAACTGGTTAGTGAAGTTTTCTTCCCCCAGACCAAGTTTTCCATGTCTGCCATCTCCAAACGTGTATAGCAACCCGTCTTCTAAAAAAAAAAAAAAAAAAGATTAAAATTTCTGACATCAGATCCGTGAAGAACCTCTTCTGTTCAACTCTGTTGTCAATGAGAAGCTCGGCATTAATGAACCGAGCTGAGATTTACCTGTAATGACAGCGGTGTGGTTTTCTCCACAGGCCACCTGACAGGCTCGTCCCTTCTTGAAGTGCTCAACCAAACGCGGCACCCGGGACTCAAAGATGAATGTCCCATGGCCGAGCTGTCCGAACTGACCGAGGCCGAACGTGTACACACTTCCCTCTGAAAGAAACCAACACAATCAGAGGCGTTTGCAGCATGCTGCAGTATTTTATTCCCCTGTTTGAGAGCATTCTGTAACTTTTTAGTAAGATTGAAGGAAGGGGGAAACCAACTGAGAATATTATTCTCAGTTAGTTATTTAAAGGAAATAAATAAATAACATGTCTTATTTGCTGTCATCAGACATTTACCTGCGAGTGCCACTGTATGTCCACCCCCACAGGCCACCTGCGTCACTGGCTCCTTGATGCTCTTCACCAGCTGAGGCACTCGGTGCCCTGGAAGCTGGTGGGTGCCCAAACCCAGTTTTCCGCTGTCCCGCTCGCCAAATGTGTACAGAGCGCCATCCACTTGGAAAACAAAAATAGGAAATACTCAGAGCTATCCACTGGCTTTTAGGTCCAGAACGAATAGGGGAAACAAAATTCTGGTTAAACTTAAAAAAACTTTTTAAAAAAGTGTCACTTGATTTGAAAATATGTTAAATTCTATAATAATATTTATATGCAAAAATCAAAACACCTAAATTTAAATGAACAATGGAGTTTTGATTTTTTAAATTATAAAATAATATGGTGAATGAAAATCTATGGAAATAAGATACTTTTGCCAATTAACTTGCATTAAAAAAAACTTTTATTGTTCTGATTTTTACATTAGTATAAATACACACGTGTGAGAATTATTCTTTTATATTTTTAGCCACTGTCACCCATGTTCCTTATGCTATCTGTAACCTTTGCAGGCTCACTGCAAAGTGATGAATGGTTATTTGGGACCTATCTCTACTCACCTGTCACTAAAGCTGAATGGTAGTACCCGCAGGAGACCCAGCTGATTGGTCGGCCTACACTGACTTCCTGGGGTGATGACACCTGACTCTCCTTACCCAAACCAATCTGACCCTCTGTGTTATCACCCCACATAAAGAGTTTACCACTCACTGGAAAAGAAATAAATAAAGAGATTACGTTTATTTTGGGAACACATTTATCTGTTAACGACACTTTGTTCTCTCTTCTACACTTCAGTTTTAAACTTGCAACATTTTCTAAAACATAAGGAATCTTTTTACTTCAATTTTGTTAACCAAATTTTTCATTTGATAACAGAATAACTATAATTTAATTACAAATGAATTTCATGAAATTATCTTTTTTTTTTAGATGCTGCAGAAAATAGAGAATATACAGATGAAATACAAATTTAAACAAAATACAAAAAATATAAAAACATGAATGTTTAAAAAAAATAATTTTAAAATCAATAATGTTTTTAGATATTTTTTTACTTTAAATCTCATTTATGAGCAAGGTCTAAAAAATAAAATCGAACATCCAGTAGTACAATATGTATGATATATGTATATATTTAATTTTAATTTCATTTAATCTTCAATATATATTTATATAATTAAGATACAAAAATTCCAAGGTAAAAAAAACATACATTAAAAATTTTAATGTTTTTAATCTCATTACACTAACAAAAAATAGCAAAAATATAATTTACAATTAAATAAAGTAAGATAAAATACATATACAATGAATAAAACAATACAAAAACTGCATATCTTAGTGTAGATGTAGGCACAATTATGAAATATACATCAAAAATGATCAAAAACCTTAAAATGAAAATTAACTAACATTTAATTTGCATTTATTATATGACTTCCCTTAATGTTTACTGGCAGTTAAGCTCTGATTAGCTGTGATCAGAGCTAATAGCTGAATTACAGTGTTGTGTGGATCTTACCGGTGAGAGCTGCTGAGATGTTCGAACCCGCAGCAAGCATCTTGATTGGTCCTTGTGAATCAAAAAAATCAAGTCTCTTGAAGGAAGTCCTCTCATCACAGTCTCCAAGCCCCAGCTGACCCTCGCTGTTCCCACCTGAGGCATACACCTTCCCTTGGGCTACAGACACACATCAACACAAGCGTGTTTAATATTCATCAGCACCTGAAAGAAAACAGCTGTGAACACTAAACACTGACCTGTGCAGATAAGCGTGTGGTTTCTCCCGCAAGCCACCAGTTGAACTTTCTCAGACTTCAGGGCTGAAACATCACAAAGAAATTTAAAACTATGGGAACGGTAATCTGGAGAGCGCAGCTTACCTCATCATCTTTTGATAACTTTAGAAAAGATTCATGAAGAAAAACAAAGTGTTCTCAGTACAATTCAATGCAAAATACAATAATTCCAAACTGTTATAAAATTTATTAAAAACTTGTGGTCATTTTTAATATTATATAGAACTTTTCCAACATAGACATTGCATAAATTTTGAGGCCCAGCTCCCTCCATCTACTAATGACCAAAAAACTAAAATCACCAGAAAATAGAATTAATCAGACTTGAGTTTAATTTCTAGGATTATTTATTACATTTAGATTTTCTGTATTGAACAACTATTTCCAGTAAGAATGATCCTTTCTTTTTAAAGTAATTTTCAGATTAAATTCACACTTAAACAAACCTCATACAGGACACATCCTTTTCTCTGTATCTGAGGAGTGGCACTTACTGTTTCTCAGCTAATGTCCCTCCAGATTTAAGCAGATTATTAGCCCTCTAGACTGAGATTATATCTACAACAAAGTCACACTTTATTTGAAGGCTTTGTCTCCTCCTCTTCAGGGACTCCCTCCTCACTGCCTGTTTAAACTGGCTGAAAGCAGCTTTCAGTGGCACTACTCATCCTCTATAACTTTTTTTTTAGAACTGAAACAGTGAGAAGGTGCCATAAAGACCAACCTTTGACACAGGTGGGTTTGTTGACAGTCACTTTGGAGCCAAGGCCGAGCTGGCCCCAGTTGTTGCTACCAAACAGGAAGAGCTTCCCATTTTCTGTGAAGACACAGAGAAAATCTCCTGAAAGGGACTCTGTGATGTTTCAGCAGGATTCATTTTAAAGTGACACGGGGCTGGATTCAGTTACAGTCACAAAACAAAATAAGAAAAAAAGATAAGAAAAAAAGCTGAAAATCTAATTTGGATAATAAAGAAAGCTTTTCCTCAAATTAAGTAATTGTACGTAATTGTAAAAATCCCCTCCAAAACAAAACCATGAAATTAAACTAAAATTTAAATTGAAGAAATGTATTGAAATTTTGACTTACTTGACTGATACAATATATATTTTTTGTAAACATGTAGATACAAACAAAAGTAAAGAGTAAAAATAATTTTGTATTTTAAAAATGACAGTAGGTTAATATTGTAAAGCACAACATTAAAAAATAATCCAAATCTTAAAATGGAGGTTAATGTATTTATCTTTTTTTTTTTTTAATAAATCAAATTTTTGTACATCTAAACAAAACCGAGAAAACATATCAGTTCTGATATGTTAGAGCAGACATATTTTAAGAGGACAGCGCAAGTGAAACTAAATCAAAACAGTATTTCCAGCTTTCACGTTTGTCAGCAGTGTACAAACACGTAAATGAGTATTACCTGGAACATAGGAGGGGCTCTCACCTGTTATTAAGGCGGTGTGCTCATCGCCGCACGCTATTCTGAGTGGGATGTCATTTTTAAGCCAAAATTTACTTGGAATGTTGTCAGCGAACTTGCTCTTTCCAAAAGTGAAAACTGCCCCCGATTCTGTAAGAAGAGACCAAAAAAACCAATCACCAACTTGGATTAATTTTCAAGTTTAACCACACCAAATGTGATGTTTCAGCCCTTTATATAAAAGATGGATGGATGGAGCCACCTTGATGTCAGTCTAGTGTTAGTGAAACCTCAAGATGAGTAATTTTTTTTTTTCCATCCAGACGTAATTTGCTGTGGAACGATCTGACTGTGACACCAAAGGACACAGCGTGCTCATATGATTTCAACTTGTCAGTCAAAATTAAGGTCCTAACTTGCTTCATCCTCCTTTCTGATTCTGATAATGACCATAATTTACTAAATTAAGTAAGCATTGGAGCTCAGAGAATTCATCAGAAAAGTGTTTACTGAGGTAAGAAATCAAGGGAGGAGCAGGTTCATTTTCTCATAGACTCCTTTATAAGGAAGCTTTGATTTATAACTACAGGCATTACCGCCTAGATGGCCATTAAAAAGAAAGGAGGTTTGATGCACTCTACGTCTTGACTTCAATTTTCAGATCCTGAACATGTCCACACGTGTCCACTCTATATATTTTTGTTTACGTGGTTTATGGCTATGTGCATACTTGTTGCTTGCATCTTGGATATTTTAAAGTTTTGCATAATCCCAACAAATAAACCAAAACTAAGACACTAAACTAACTCAAAATGTTTATTTAGTAGTTTTTACCATTTAACTAGCATCATTTTGGTTACATTTTTTTCACATTAATTAAAAATTAGCCAAAGAGTCAAGTTAACCCAATGTGAAGTCTTCAAATGTCTTGTCTTCTCAAACAAGAAGTCTACGCCAAAATATGTATTCAGGAATAACATATTTTTCCACTTGGAAAAGATCTAGTCTGCATAAAAAAGAAGAGGAGGAAAACGTTCAAATTTGAGTGCTGCAGATCTGAATACTTGGCATTATTTGTTACTGAAAAAAAATGACATAAACGTTTTTAAAGGGTTACAGATTTTGTAAAATGTTCTTTGGATGGGGTCATTTATTACTTACTTACTTTATTCCTTCATCAAAGAAAACAGAGTAAAAGAAACACAATAATACAAAAAGGGGGGAGAAAACAAAATGTATTTTGTATCAAAATATAAAAAATTATGCATTGTTTGCTATTGCTTTATTGCTTTAGTGTTATTATAGACACGGATATGCATAAGAAGCACTTTCATGAAATTAAAACAATCTAGTAAGACCGTTTTTATTTTTACCTCTCCTTTTACTGTTTGAGCGTAAATGCAACTGACTACAAAAAAAACAAAACACCTTTGACATGTGGTAGAGTTGAACATTGGCATCGACAATAAAATATGAAAATATCAGGACAGGGGAAAAAAGATACTTGATAATTAATCACTATCAAAGTGATTCAAAGTGAGGAATGATGAGGAAAAAATTCATAAAAACTATTTGACCTTAATAGCTAAAGCACTCGTGTAGAGTAAAACAGAATAACGGGAGGAGAAATGCAATATCATGAGGTTAACTTTCCGTTAGCCTGAAGCTAGCCGAAGGTGAACATTACAGTTAAAGAATATTTTACAATACAAACGGTTCTCTGAGAGCCAGAAGAGGCGACAATGACTGATATTTACCCGGAATGTCATCTTCAGCCTCGCCTGCCATCTCTGCGGTACTTTAATCCGCTTTGATCCGCGCCTGTGGGCGTGTTGGTACCCCTCTGTTGTTTTCGACTCGAACAACCCGGAAGTAAACAAAACTTCTCCTAGGCTACGAAGGAACACACGTGACTCTTAAAGAAACAGAGCCATTTCTTGTGTCTCATTATTTATAGCAGGGGTCTCAAACTTACATGAGCAAGTAGTAAAGCAAGTAGCAAGTAGTAAAAAACTACGGTGGCCCCTATAGACAAAGCATGTACAAACTCCAAAACACTTACAAACTCTATAACACTTACAAAATTCAAAACACATGCAAAAACCAAAACACAACGGAAGTGCTCCAGGACGCTAGGGGCAGTATTGAGCTCGATTTGCAAAATAAACGGCAAGTTTGCTGCAAACTCATGGGCTGTATGGGACGGTCTAGGTTCCGTCGTGCTGCCCAGGTTGCCTAGTAACCATTGATACTAACCGCTGGAAACATGTCATGCAACTTTGTTTGACAGAAATGAAGGAGAAGATATTTTGTTCATTTGTTTGTTTGTTTCTTGATTTGATAAGTATCTGAGGCTGAGACCACAGGACTGTAAAACATGATTTTTGGCCTTCATTTCTGTACTGAACGGTCATTTTAAGATTAGCTAGTAAATAACAATTAGCTAATTTTGTTCATGAGACTAAGGTAATATCACTTTGGTAATGTAAATATAATATGGCCAATATTATAGTTACAACTGCCTACAACTGCAAAGCTCTCCAGCAAGTAGTGCGGTGCTCTGAACGGATAATTGGAGGTGAGCTTCCCTCCCTCCAAGACATCTACAGGAAGCG